CAATGGATCAGAAGTGGTTGGAAAGTATTTGAGTTTAGGTTCGGTTTCTTTGGGGATGTCAGAAGATTAAATTAAACGAAGTCCTACAAGATTACGTGAAAAGATCTCAGAGTTTACGTAATTGTACTTTGGATGATTACATGTTCGTTAGATTGACATAAAACTAGGGTGTTTGGTTGGAATTAAGGATTGTACGTGCACAATGGATCGAAAATGGTTGAAGATTGCAAGATTTCATTTTGAGAATGAAATAGTAGGATATTTTATTTTATAATTGTCTAATACTTTTCCTTATGAATGATCGAGATTGAATTGGGCAATATCTCGCGTTAAGAGATAATTGAATTTCATTAAAAGAGATAAATTTTTGAATTTCATACGAATTTTATTCTCGCAATAGTGAAATTCCTGTGGGAAATATTCACGAAGTCTAGACTCTATTCTCGCGAAATGGGGGAACTATGGAATTTATTGTATGTTAAATTTTACTTCTGCAACAATTACAAATGTCTCTCCTTGTCGATCAGAATTTATAAATATACTTATATTGTAATATTTATGTTTATAATATATTTATATCTTATGTTTATAATGTATATATATATAATATATTAATCTACGTATCGTTGCATCGTTTAAAAATTGATTTTTCTAACAGTTTAAGAAGCTTGTAACTCTCTGAAGTCATCGAGCTTCGATATATTTATAACAATCGCATCACCGTAGCCAGTCAGCAGTGATACTGAACAGGTTTCTTCGTTACAGTCGATTTCTTCGTGGATCCTTCGGTACATTCGGTACATACTCATTAAATTATTACATTGTGTATCGGGCAGAAAACTGATTACAGAACTCCATATATAAAACGCAGAGAATCTTTACACAATCTGCGTTTATGCTGACCTTTTTCAAACAAAGAGAATCACAATCGATCGTGAAATATATCTAGTATAAATTCTGCCTCATTAATCACGTAGCTTTGTAATGTGCATAATTTTTTTTCTACAAATTAACGAAACTGGTATCATTGTACATTGGCAGCCATAATTTACGTTTTTAGGTAATCACATTTCTCAATTTTTAATTTTCAATTTGATTTAATTTTATTATTAATCCCTGCGGAATATAGGGTTTCAAAAATGAAATTTGAACACTTCAAACTTTTTGTCACGTAGTGAAAGATACTATAGTAATCTATGACCTCGCTAATATCACTCCCGAGTTTGAAATTTTATCGGTAAATATGGAATATCCTTATATTCCTGACGATGCTAAAAAAATACCAATTTCATGGAGTTTATAAAATATTATAATGCGTTTATCTTTTAATAATTGTAAAATGTTTACACGTAGCGAAGCTGCGCTCTATTAAAATAAGCTTATTTAAAAATAATCTTAATAAATATTATTTAAAAATAAGCTTAGTAAATATTATTTAAAAATAAGCTTAGTAAATATTATTTAAAAATAATCTTAGTAAATATTATTTAAAAATAATCTTAGTAAATATTATTTAAAAATAAGCTTAGTAAATATTATTTAAAAATAAGCTTAGTGAATATTTAAAAATAAGCTTAGTAAATATTATTTAAAAATAAGCTTAGTAAATATTATTTAAAAATAAGCTTAGTGAATATTTAAAAATAATCTTAATAAATATTATTTAAAATAAGCTTAATAAATATTACACCGTACTGCTAAAAATCGCTATTCTTTGAGTAATTACATCTATCGTAGTTTATAATGGACATTTCTCGTGTCTGGCAGCTAGGTACATATGTATTATGTTCTCTGACGTGAATGTAGGACGTGAGATTTATTCGGATATACGATCAAAAGTCCGGCCATACCTACAATTTGTTACACTTTTGCGAGTGAAAACGAAACGGAACGTAGGTGGGAACTATGGGTCAGTGATCACGCGATTTTACCTTGGTTCTGTTCTCAGAGAGTTTAGAATTATTTCAACGTGAATCTTCTATGCCATAGAGTTGAAAGATTTCTAGCAGTAGATATACATACATGTATCTCTGATGATATAACCGGGAATGAGAAACAAGAATCGTATATAGTTTTTAGTTCTTCGTGCAGTCAGAAATTTTGAAAGATCTCGTGTACAATTTGTAATTTAATTGGTAGATTTCTGTAATTTTATTTTTATTCTGTCATTATTTTTTTTTCTTAATTAATTGATTAATTTTTCATGGTCATACTAAATGTGAAATGTATATTTTGATATGTATTAGCGTCTGAATTTGTTATTTATTGTTGCTTGAAGGATTTCTCCATTTTTTTCTTATAGACACTATTATTTTGTGTGATATTTTATATTTGTGCACGACACAAACAATCCAATTTATACAACTTGTTTGATAATTTTTCTTTAATAGTTAGACGTAATTTCGATTTTAAGGTGTTAAAAAGATAAAATGCATTTACATAAATTACATTAATCTGTATTTGTTTGAAGTTGAACAATACATTAGATTGGCAAGAAGTGTGAGAATAATGAATGTGGAAATGAATCCGAAAGATATTGAAATTAGAATGATCAAAGTGATACATCATTCAGGAGTACAATTTCTTACAGCACGATAACGTCGATCTCGTAATAAATAAAGTAATTAAAAGGAAGAATAGACGCTGTTATAGAGATAATGGTTTTTATAATGAACTCCACGTGATTCATCAATTATGTTAGCTAATTTATGTTAATTTCATTGTAAGATAAGGAAACATATGAACTTCCTTCTCATTAGCATGTGAAAGCAGCCTTTTGTATGGCACTGTACTTCTGATAAATGACCTAGTACACACTATGTCATTTACTCGCTTATAAGCTGCTGCAACTTCAGAAACACGAAAAAAGAAAATTGAAACGTTACAACTTGCTTGAAAATCGAACGAAACTCTACAGTAATTGTTTTTCTTTCTTTTTCTTTTCTTTATAATAGCAGTATCTCAAAAATTATAAAAAGAAATCGTTTGATTTAGTTATGTCAATTTAGGGATATTTGTGTATAGTTTTACTTAGTGATATTTATCATTGTAGTAACATTGATCACATTCAGATCATTGATCATTGATTATATATTTCTCTTTTCGTAATTATTTATTCCTCTGTATAATATCACGATACGTTTAGACCAAATTTATTGCCTATGTGCATTTATTAATTTAGTAACATCGTTTTCAATCGATGGAGAGAACCCGAGGGACTACTTAAACGGCTCTCCCTCGCACAGATGTTCGTATACACTTAAAATTCCATCGTAAAATTCAGAGTACCGAGAAACGTATATTGTACCATCTCGTGGCCGATGATATGGCACGTTGCCATGAGTATTTCGCACGTTACATTCGTTCGCTAATTCATTCGCACGCGCTAATTGCCCGGCTTTCTTCTTAACCTTTTGTTGCTGTTGCGCGTCTGCTTGCTTCGGGCACAACTGGAAAATTCGAGGCTCACGTAACGTCGAGAAATCTAACACACCAATCATTTTCTTGTGATGAAAACAAATATACACGAATAAAATTGTAAGTAAAGAAAAGAAATTAGTAAAGATATGATAAATATACACGAATAAAATTGTAACTAAAGGAAAGAAATTAGTAAAGATATAAATTAATAAAAATATAAATTAGTAAAGATATAAATTAATAAAGATATAAATTAGTAAATATATAAATTATAATAAAGATATCAATTGTGATTGGAACGTTAAAAAATAACTTGGACCATTTGTAGAAAAGATATTGGTTGGTAAATGTACATCCGCAGAAATAAAAAAAATAGTGAAGATATAGATTATGATTATTATTTGAGAAAGTTAAACGGTAAAGATATATATCGTGAAATTACAGTTTGATCAAAATTAAATGACAAAGGTGTAGTGATGGCAAAGATATAAACAAATAAATTTGTTGATGGTAATAGTTGTATGATGGTAGGTGTGAATGAAGTTCAAATAATCGAAGTTGGTTGACAAAGAGAAAAAAGACAAAAGAATTTAATAACTTTGGAATATTTCAAGGAAGGATAGTAGGATTAATAGTAGGTTTTAATACAAGTGGTTAAAACTTTTCCTAGCTAAAAAAGAAACTGTGAAGTTCTTCGATCGACTAGAGAAACGTCGCTCTCAAGGATAAAGTTATGATTAACGTTAGACAACTGCATGATTCACTTCGTAGGATTGGTTCGAAGATTGCTCCGCAGATTTCCAGTAAAATGCATTCGTTTTATCTAGGATGGAAATCGAGGAAATATGAAAGAAAGTTTAATTTCTCATATTCTGACAATTGTCTGACAGTTCCGATTTAATCGTAGAAAACTTTCGTTCCTGATCAATTTTTTTACAGTATTTCGCATCATCGCAGTATTTTAATTTTTTCTTTCCTCTAAAATTTCCATTATAACACTTCGTTTGTTATTTTAATAAAAACAATTCGCTCTCTCGTCATCTCAATATTCGTTTTCAATTGCATTTCAAGCAAAAATTATTAATTTCAATTTAAAACATCTCGCCCTTAACCACTTGCGCCGGCAACTGATTGCGGACCATAACGAGTGACCGAACCGTATACAGTTCGTCGTTTCTCTGTTTGTGAAAATTCGAAATTATTCAGAACTAATAAATTTATTATTTGTTTTGCCTGGGTCGTATTTAAAATGTACTTAATGTCCTTAATCACTTGCGCCGGCAACTGATTACGGACCATAACGAGTGACCAAACCGTGTACAACAGTTCGTCGTTTCTCTGTTTGTGAAAATTCGAAATTATTGAGAACTAATAAATTTATTATTTGTTTTGCCTGGGTCGTATTTAAAAATGTACTTAAAAACTGAGAAAATGTTGCAATTTTTGGCAAACGATTCTCTCGTCATGCGTGGCACGTCATTCCAGCGCAAGTGGTTAATAAAATCAAGCTTAAAAAATTCCACAACACGTAGTACAGCTCGGTTGTTGCAGAAGATGCCTTGAATTCATTTTTCTTATAGAAACACGCCTACCTCGATCGGAAGTAGCTATTCGGAGAGAATGATGCCTTCGAGCCATGTAAGTGAAATGCTCTCCGAGAAAATGGTTAGAAAATCGAGCACTGCGGCGAACGTTTCCCCGCGGGAAAATCGAAAGTAATTTGGCTGATCGAAAGGTCGATTTTCCGATCGGCGGAAGTTTCGCGAGTAAAGGGGACGAGAAATTTTTTCGATGGTTCTTCGTGGTTTGCTGGCACCAGCGGCGGCGCGATGGACACGAAATAAAACGACGAAAAGGTAGAAGGATTAATTGGATTCTTTGATGAACGTTGGACTACGTTCAAGAAGAGCATGGGAATAATATATATACACACACATATATATGTATGTATATATGTGTGTATATATTGGCTCAGAAGCCAATCGATGTAAGAGTCACTTCTCATTAAAAACAACTTGCGCCGTGCAAATGCCAATTTCATTATCGAAATTTTTACTTCGTGTAATTTAGTCATTATAATATCATCACAGGTAAACTGTGTGCCGTTGACTGAAAATTTTGACAAGATATTTGTACGACACCAGTGATTAAAATTTTTAATGTAAAATGACTTGCATTAATTAACTTCTGAACTCTTGTAATGTTTGTTACTAGATCTGCGGATCCTTTGTGCAATTTTATCTTTGTAATTGAAATGGAACGAACGTTTTATCTATTAAATATTGTAATATAAGCACGGTGCTTTGGATGTTTCATATATTTTTGTGTATATAACGTGCATTCTATTTTGTATCTTTAAATTTCTCTAAGATCGCACGAACATCAACAGTTTGCCGGCCGAATACGTCTTGGAATACGTTTTATTTATGATAGAATTTTAATTTTAATTTTTTATACGTTAAATACATTTTCATACACAGATTCTTTACCGGGAAAAGTGTTATTTAATTCTTCCACTTTTAAAATAAATATAGTCTTATTGTTCCGAGACTTTTAGAATAGAAAATTTGAAATTTTTTGATTTAGAGAAGTTACATTCCTCCAATCAATCGAAATATGAATCGTTCAAAACTTTTTTCGAGCAATATTCAATCAACATTGATATTTTTTAAATCACAATACTTACCAATAGCAGTAAATATTTTTTAATTGTTATTTTGTTTCGTGCAGATTGCTTTTAAATAACATTTGTCTGTAATAAGCGTACGTACAGTGAATATTTCGTCGAAATTTCTGAAATAGAGAATCGGGAAAGCACGCGAGTTGGAGTTTTAATTGGAAGTCGATGGAATCCACTCATCGCCACTTGAACCCCATTAATCTTCCATGAAACGATATCTTGTTTAACGGCGAACAATTAATACAAGGAAATATATAAATCGATGTTATAGCCGGTTCGTTAGCGAGATATTTTCACACTTTCTTTTTTTTTAGTTTTTTCTTTTTTTCTTCTTCTTCTTTTTTCGTTAATTAATTTCCACGATGAAAAGGTTGAAAAGGTGAGATATATATACATACACCTTATCGACGATCTCTCCGGCTGCGTAGACGAATAATTGGAATGGAAATGGAAATAGAAAATGATAGGTCAAATTACACGCTTTTCTTTTCCAACTTCGACAAATCTCTGTGCATGGCGCATTGTATCTTACAAGTATATATTCCTATAGATATTAATTATTATATCTTTTATTAGATAATTAATAAATTTTTAATAATATTAATATAGAAAATATAAATTTTTAATAATATTTAATTAACGAATAATAAATAATATTTTATATTATTTTAGATATTTATTTAAACCATGTGTATCATTTGTTATTTACGTTTATTTGTTTAAAACAGCAGGACAGCTTGTGCATAATTTTGGATCAAAAATTTCTTTTTATCCTCAAATAAATACCACTTCCTTCTTATTCTTATTTTTTTTAGAATACGCAATTAAAGAAAACTAAGATCACGCATTAAATGTCATGGACAGCAATCTTGTATTTTCAGATTCTCTATAAATGGATAAAAATCTAGTTATAAAAAAAATTGTAAAAAAATTGTCAAGAGAACCAGCTTATATCAGGATGTTCTAAAAATGGTAACAGCGATTGATCTGTGAAAGGCTTGCGCGTATATAACATTTCTGTTACATCACCTGACATGAACAAGCTGACACGAGACAATAATGATTTTGCAGGGGTCAGGAGAAGCAGGCAGCTGGACAATTAGGATTATCACGTTATGGACCGCAGGTGATGAGCGTATTGTGTTTATGCACCACGGTACACCAGACCGCTCAGAACAACAGCCAGGCCAGCAAGATACTTCCGAGCACACCGCCGATCTCATCTGAGGAAGAGAGGATAAACTCGTCGCAGGAAATACCCACCGACGAGCTGGCTCTATTAGCTAAGCTGGAGGAAGCCAATAGGTGAATCGTCGCGCTGACTAACGTTCAACAACATCGGCATTGCATGTGCAAAGCGAATCGTGCTTTAGACATACTGCTTATATATGTTCAATTATGTATGTTAATGCGTGACTCAGGACTGCAGGATCAGTTGATTGTGAATGAGAACGAGGAGTAGCTTAAATGGGATGAATAGAAACATTTCTAAGAAAAATATCTTATTTAAACTGGGGAGGGCAAAGATTTGATCCTATTTTAAATATATTGGATAATTTAGCTCTCTTATAATTTATGTATTTTTATATCCAGAAAAAAAGGGGAGAAGTATGTTTCTATTTAGCTCAAAATAACAAGTGAATAAGCGTTGGCATTGAATGATGAATAATTGTAAACTTCAGAAGTAGAATTTTTGTTCAAGAGAGAGATTCATGAAATAATTGTAAAAAATATCTAGATTTTCAATCGTTTCTCGTTCTTTGTATTTAGTTCTTGCTTACAATACAAGATCTTTCATTTATGAATGTTTTTACATCGATTTGACGATTCTGCTTGTTTTGTATTTTTACACTTCCATTTCATTCTATTTCTGAAACTTAACTGATACTTAGCACACACGTTTAAAAAAGAAGATATATACTCTTGCATTAATTAGGATACTTGTTATAATCTTGGGTTGTAACATATGAAAATATAATTTTGTATGATTATGACGCTACTACTGTTTTAAGAACTATACAGAAAACTGGCATTTGTTGGTAAAAATGATTTTATTTAGTATATTTACAGTATCACTCAATTCTCATGTATGTACATCATAGTTAATTCGATTTGAAAATTGAAAGTGAATTGAATTTAAGAATATAATTATAGAATTCAAATCTAATTAGACAATATATTTTACGTATAATTCATTCACTGTTGGTGGAAAAAATGAACTTATTATTTTAATCAACGTGATCGGATATCTCATATGTTACCACTCAAAAAGCATTTTAATGAGATTTCATGAATGTAAAGTTCATATTTAAAGAATTTCATGTAATTGATAACAGGCTTATCGAATCGGATGCAAAGTCGTTGAACTCGCTCCAAAGTAATCACAGTAGGAAAGGTTCCGACACATCTCAGGTGTCCGTGGCGTCGGGAGGCAGCGGAGGAAACGGCGATGCTGCACCCCGACGCCACAATTCAGCTGATGGTGAAGAGAATACGTGGACCCTATGGGGTCACATCGTCGCTGATTGGGATTATCATTGGAAGAAGAGGAAAGAGTTCGTCAAAGAATTAGTACGCCAGGGAATACCTCATCATTTTAGGTAATCAAGCACTTTAGCTTCAATTTCTCAAGTTCATTAGTAACTTTGGATGATCTGTGTAGCTCTTTAAATTTAACAAGAATCAATAAGGAACACAATTACAATGAGTGGAAAAACTGATTCTCATGTTCGTATTGCAGAGGTATTGTTTGGCAATTATTAAGTGGTGCTCATGACTCTCCTGTGAAAAAGCAATTCGCCGAGTATATCAAGGCTACGTCAGCATGCGAAAGGATAATCAGGAGGGATATAGCCAGAACGTATCCTGAGCATGATTTCTTTAAGGAGAAAGACGGTCTTGGTCAGGAGAGTCTATTTAACGTTATGAAAGCGTACAGTCTTCATGATCGTGAAGTGGGATACTGTCAAGGTTCGGGATTTATTGTAGGATTACTCCTTATGCAGGTACACTTTAATGTTTGAGCGGGATTAGAGGACTATAAACGAATAATTATAATCATTAAAAAAAAGAAAAAGACAAAGAAAATATGAGATAAATTACGTTGAGTTAATGAAAGAATTAAATGGGTATATCAATTTGTTGTTACAGCAAATGCCAGAGGAAGAAGCTTTCGCTGTACTGGTAGCGCTTATGCAAGAGTATCGTTTGCGAGACATGTTCAAGCCGAGTATGGCTGAATTAGGGGTGTGCATGTATCAGCTAGAACATTTAGTTGCTGACACGCATCCCGAGTTACACGCTCATTTTACGGCTCAAGGTTTTCACACGTCGATGTACGCATCGTCTTGGTTTCTTACGCTTTTTACCACAGCGCTCAGCCTACCGCTGGCCTGCCGCATTTTTGACGTGTTTCTGTCCGAAGGCATGGAAATTATTTTCAAAGTTGCGTTGGCCATGCTGCACTTAGGCAAGGAAGATTTGTTAAGCTTGGACATGGAAGGCATGTTGAAGGTAATTCCCTATCATCAGAATCTAACATCTTATCCGTAGATAAGAATTTTATAAAGATATAGAATTTTTTGCGTTTACTCGTAGAGAATAAAGATCACAAGCTTGATAGTTGAACAATGTTTCTTGCCACGTGTGGCTCAATCTTCATGCTGGTCTCGTTTCGTTAATATTTATAACTTTTTTTTTTCGTGTGTAGTTCTTTCAGAAACAATTACCTGGAAGAGCCGAGAAAGATCCTGATGGCCTCATGAATCTTGCTTATAGTATGAAAATAAATCCAAAGAGAATGAAGAAACTCGAGAAAGATTATACCGTCTTGAAAATGAAAGAGCAAGAAGAAATGGTCGAGCTACGTAGGCTTAGAGCCGAGAATAGGTTACTTAGGCAAAGAACTGAACTCTTAGAAGCCGAGTCCGCGGAACTGGCAGACAGATTAGTCAGAGGTCAAGTTTCTCGAGCAGAAGAGGAGGAAACTGCTTTTGTTGTACAAAGAGAATTAGCAGCTCTTCGACACACGCATCTTGAAACCAGCCATCAGCTTGAACAAGCTCATGAAGAATTAAGATCGTTGTCGCTTCTGCTAGAAGAAAATGTCACGTCGAAACAATCTTCTCTAGATGAAATTTTGTCAAAGCAGGAAGCATTGTCGCAAAAGGAGGAAATGATACAATGTTTGCAAGAGGAATTAGTGAGAGTTCGACTACACGAGGCTGAGAACGATGCAACGATAAGGGAACTTAGAGCAAGGATACAAGAATTGGAACAAGATAAAAAGACGTTGCGCGAATCAACGCCAGATAATTCTGTTGCTCATTTGCAAGAAGAACTGATTGCCGTAAAGCTAAGAGAAGCAGAAGCTAATCTCTCTTTGAAGGTAATTCATTTTTTTATACGTTTGAAATTGTGAATATTCCGCGTTTGAAATCGTTCGAGATCGTTCGTAATAGTTGTAAAGTATATATATATATTTAATAAACTTATCATAATGTAAGAAATTTGTTAGGATCTTCGGCAAAGAGTAATGGAATTGAGTAGTGCTTGGCAAAGACATCTACAGGAGCATCGTTCCGCTCAGGCTCAACCTGCAAGCGATTCCACACCGAAGAAGCTTCTGTTTTGGGAGAATCGAGGACATGAAGTGCAAAAATTTGAAGAAGATTTAATGACAACCAGAATTCGAGAGATGGAAGCCTTGACAGAAGTGAAGGAGCTTAGACTCAAGGTCATGGAACTTGAAACGCAAGTGCAAGTCGCCACAAATCAACTTCGTCGACAAGATGAAGGAGGGAAAGTAATTAAAGAAGAATTAGAGACTGCCTTAGCTAGGGAGAAGGAACTTACTGCCAAATTGCGGGAGCAACAACATAAATATTCCGATTTGGAGTCTAAAATGAAGGATGAAGCCATGATGGCTAGGATACGCGATGCAGAGCATGCGCAACAAGTGGCAGAACTCACTCAGAAGATATCTCTTCTTGAATTAAAAGTACTATTTTTTTTATTTATATCAATTTCTTTAAATATTTCAATACAAACATCACCATATATATACTGAAATCATTGGTTATTCTTATTCGTTACTAGAATGAAGAGATGCACGCAGAAGGTGAGCTTAGGAATAATTTAGATGACAGTGAAAGAGTCAGAGAATTGCAGGATAAAGTTGCAGAATTAAAAGCTGAGGTATGTGAATATTTTTTGCTTCATCTATGCTGCATTAGTGAAAGCATTGATTTAAAAGAAAGAAAAAATAACTGCAGTAAGAGGTGAATGGAAAAAACATTATTAAAGTGTTATTTATAATAAAATTTAGTCTTAGTATTATATTTTTGCATGTACTTTGCTCAGAATATTTTTATTATTTCCATAAAGTTTATCATTAAACGATCTTGAGTTAAAGATAGAATTATTCATGTGACTTTCAAAAAAGCATAGGGTATTGGGAATATAACTACGAATGCTTTCAATTATGCACAAGTATAATTATTGTTATATATATTTATGATCGTCAATGATTTTCGTTAAATTTCCTCGATTAAGATTAACATTTCTTTATTTAAAGTATTAACTATAGTATAAGTTCAAAGTATCAATGGTAGAAGTAATAGCGGTAGTTTTATTCAATTTGCTATTAGACTGCAAGTTAGTAAATCTCAAAGCTTGTAGTTACGTAATTATAAAAAAAATATCGTACATTTAAATATAGAAGTAACTTCCGTTGATACCCTGTTATAGGATTTCTTCTTTCAATTCCTCCATATTCATATGTCGAAACATAGAACTATATCAATTCTATACAACCATCGTAATCATCAATACATCTTTAAAAAGTTATTTTTGATTTAGGTATTCATATTATTTTTACATGACAAAATAATAAATTTCACTTTTGTAAAGATATTTAATACTTTATTAAATATTTTATTTCTAAGATTTTCTTTGAAACAGTTTTTACAATTTGTATAATTTATTGTAACAACAATTTTTTTCTAATTATATTTATATGTATGTAATAATATTTTATAACACTATTTTGTCCAAAAACTATCCATGTTTTTAACACTCATATTTTTGGTCCATTTGAAAATTCATATTAATGGGAATTTAACACTATTGTCGCTCCTTTTTGTTGCACTGTTAATTCACATATTGCAAAGAATTGAGTTTTCGATGTATTATACTAATAATTTTTTAACTAGCCTGAATCCTTTAAATAAGAACGATATATGAGAAAAAACATATGTACATAAATCAATTGTGTTTGTTGGGTGCACAAAATTACGTCTATCGTTATAACACGTAACATAAACGAAGATGTAATTTATGCTTTCGTATTTCTATGACTCACTAAATTATGCACCAAATTGCACCTCTTACTGCAATGTATTGCCAACCGTCACGCTAATAAACAATTTTTTTTTTTTTATTGATAAAATCATGTGCTATACAAAATTTGATTATAATTTTCATTTCAGAATATTTTTCTGCTTATAGATTTAATATTAAAATTAATATGAAATTTCACTAACATTATTATAAACAAAGAGAAATATTTATTCTTGTTTAACAATCTGCTTTAATATCAGATAATTAATACAGTTAATATTCAGATATTACTTAGATATATAAGATTTATAAAATTAAATATTATATGGTATATATTTTTCATATTTGTAATTAACACAGCTGTTTTCACACTTTTCATATTTAACAAATAACATATTTCTTCAGAGGTACCTGTACACATTAAGAATTCATTGTGTTGTCATCATCAAAAGTGCATCTCTAACTGTTCCAATCCTCATCTAATTTTGTGTATTCACATAATTTTGTGTGAATTTTCTAAGTCATTGAAGAAATTCCTTACATGTAAGAGCTTCGAGGTGCATTCACAGCTTGTTATGTCTCTGCTGCAATGTAAAATCTAAATAATCAATGTCGAATCGCTTCTAAACTTAATATAATACAATATTCGTTCATTTAATGTTATTTTTTGCACTTGTGAGAATAAACTAATCATCATTGTATTTAAACTGAAATTTATATCTTTGAGGGCATCATAATATAAAAAGGTTTCTTTCCGAATTAAATATTTATGTTTTGATTACGTTGAAAATTTGCAATAAATTAATTATAAGATTTTAAACATATTGTAAATACTTTTATAACATTAAAATAAGCAAATTTTCAATGTTTTAGCATTAATATTTAAGGCGTTTTATCTAGACACATACTATAAAATCATTTTATTATAAATCAAGCTTGCCATTTACAGTATTAATTGTGCTTTAAGGACATTGTATTAGATATTGAGAGCTAGCACAGCACGGAGTAAGAATTGGTTCTAGTTCTACAGATAATTTTATTCTACAGATAATATTGGAAAGAAAATACAAAAAGTATGATCTGAAAAATACACCTTCAAAGATATCATTTTTACTTTTATATTATCCTTTAATATTCAACAAAAGTATATTTTAATATCTGCTATTTAAAAAAAAAATTACCAAACATTTATCTACTCATATAGAAAGATATATTATGAATAGAATTCTCATTGTGTAAAGGTACCAAACACTAACACGAAAAAACTAATAGTCTTGTAAAACTAACCCTCTATTGCTGTGTTATCTCTGTCTCCTTAGTTCCCTACGCCAATCACCAGCCCGGAGACTGAGCCTTGGCGCTGGCTCGAGTAAGTCTTTACCCATCCGTAAGCATTATTTTTTCCATTTCATGTATGTAGCATGACATCAACGTGTACTGTTGATCAAAAGTCGATATTTCCTTTTTATATAATTTTGTATATATTTTATGAGATAATTAGATACTATAAACACTATACTATACTATATTAAATTACAGGACAATTCATCTTAATTTACAATCAAGTGCTATAAGATTCAAAAAAGGATCAGAATGACAAATGTCTTTATCTTTCAATGTCGCCTTGAATTCCTTTTTAACACATATATGTACATCTAATTCCATCATATTGTTTTCTTGTGCTCATTTATCATCATATATGTAACAAAGCATTGATTTGACTCATTGACTGTTTAGTATATGCTTTGCAATTTGCACATTATAATCACTATTTGTATGCTTCATTTCCATTTTCTTTATTTATTAATTAAGTAAGATTTTTATAATAATAGTAAGATTTTTTGTTGTAGAAAGAAGTGGCAAGAACATTTGTAAAATGCTTTAAGAACTAATGGGCAATCTTACTAATTTCTTTATTTAATATGTTGCTTAATCAGTGTATTAAGTAATGCATGTTATCCATTATAATTTTCAACCCAATATACTTTTTATGAAATCTGAACTTGATGCTATCAGTAAGTTATTATATATTATACTAGAAGAAATGCTTATCAAGGATCATCCAATAATTGAAACATGTACTATAGAGGTGTATAATCAAATAAAATTATTTTCATTTAACATTAGAAATAATTATTCAATAACTCTTTATTGTTTTTCTTTTATTGCACTTTTTAAACGAATCATCAAAAGTATAAAATTAAAGTGCATGATAATTATATTTGATTAATTTTATTTGAAACTATTTATATTTATTTACTGCAACTTTTAAAACATATCATCTGATTTTAGGCAACTTTCTTCATCTTGAAAAATGGAGTCAAAGACTTTAGAAAATTTAAGAGATCAAACATCAGAATAGAAACAGAATAGATTAGAAGAATTTGAACAAGATTCCTAGACATTATATACGTTACAAAAATTGCACAATTCTCTGAAAAAATAGTATTGAGAGCTAATCATTTCACAAAACTGTCTTAAAAATTATTTTCAACAGAATAATACATTTACCCAACAAAGTAAAAAGTAATTGAATTATGTCAAATGAAATATTTGTAAAAAAAAGAAGCATAAAGTACATTTGCAAAATGATGATGTACAAAGTTACAGAATTTTACAAACATTTCATAATCTCTCAAATTATGGAGTTTAACAATATTACTGCATATGAAATGTGTGTCGCAGGTCATGAGGCTAGAAAGTTGGAAGCAACGTTGGACAGGCCATGGTGGGCAAAATGTAAGAAGTTTCAGTGTTGACACTGAAAGCGAGCTGGACGAGCGGGATCTCAGAATTTGTTTACAGGATCATATCAATGCGACTGCACAGAACTCACCAGAGGTATAGAATTCCATGTATACAAGAAATTAGGCAGCTAATTGTCGTTCGAACACACACACACAGAAGTATTCTATATGTCAGAGCAGATGGGATCTTTTACGTTTCATGATCATGCTTTCGCTGTAGAGAGAATGCGACGAGTTATAACGCACATAGAATATTATAAACCGAAAACATAGGAGTAATAGCGGTATTATGTTTTTAGCTAACGTGTAATATCACTATAGTTCGTGATGTATTAACAGCATAGTAGCAATTAGGTGTAATCTGGTGGTCATTAATACTGCAATATAAAATTATCTGACCCGAATCTATTCGTTGCAATCAGACTTCGAAGTAGTATTTGTAAAACATGCTCTTTTAATAATCTACAAACAGAATAATGTCTCGACAGTTAGGTTGTCTCGATGTCTCATGTAAGCATTCTAATACATATAGCGACTAATATCTATTATTTTCTCTACAAAGCTTCTCTACCAGAAGCCACCATCCACTAATTTTTGTAATATGCAGTTCGAAGTCTGTTTACAATCGACGAGTACTATAGACTAAATATAACTATGTGGCGCATAAACGTTTTTATACGTATACGTATGCATTCTGTGTATTTTTTGTAATTCAAACCAAATGTAATTCCATTTAAGGAATTGTATAGAATGAATAGATTGAAGTCCGTCGACAGGGAAATCGACGAGTTGAAATTGTGTCTTTTATGAATGAAAGAACGGATGACGGAAAAAAAAAGGAGAAAATTAAGTAGAAAAAGAAAAGAAAAGTTAGCGTTTTTCCTGATACGACGGAATACTTAGAGTCTCATTAACGAGTCGCAGTAGCGTATTACTTCGATTGTAGAATACAACAAACAAGTAAAAACGAATATATAAGAGTAAATGAAGTATCAATACTCTTTGGATTCATCAGTATTGTATCTTGAGTATATTCGCGTATTTATTATATGTTTTTGTAACGGGGAAATCATGCTAGATTGATTTTGAACGATCCAATTATTGAACAGAGAAACTGCGCAGAAAATTAACATATAATACCGTGCAAAAGTCTTAGATCAATTTTTTAAGTTTAATGTTTTATCTCTGAGACTCTATAACTATTACTAGAACACGAATAGATTTCTGTAATTATTACTTAGAACGTGTTACATCTAAGAAATAATAATTGTCTCAATAAGTATTGATTAATTTAAAGATTAATATTTTACTCACAACGTTTTTCTGACTTCAAAAATATTTTATAATATTTAGATAAAAGTTCCTTATTTTGTGGTAACTAAGATAACATTAACACAGATGATTCAAGATTTTTGCGCAGTATTATGTAAACATGCGCATACATTTAGGTTTATGTTAAACAAAATTTGAAAAAATTGTGATTTTGATCAGTTAGAGAGAGGCAAGAAGGCGATTAAAAAAAATTTCGTAATCTCGTTAAAATTGGATCTAAGCAGCTGCTGATCGGTGGAGGGTGAATCAGTGTTCTTTAAATTAATTTACTAATTGCAGATTATTGAAAGTGAAAGTGAAACCGAACGAGATAATCGGGAGTACGGTTGTAAAACTTAAATAGCCCGGATAGCTCGTTTCTTATAGCGAGGACATGATAATTACTTCCAACGTAAGTAGTTGCGCAGACCAGAAAATTGCTTTTTTATTCATCGATTTTTGTTTTTTTTTTTTTTAATCTTCTCGGTTTATTTTTCAGCTTAATCAAACCCTTAACGATCCATTTCCGTTCCTACTATGATCGTGTGTTTTCAGTTTAAGAATTTCAACAAACAGTCTAAACGTATTTGCTTTTAAGATAAAAGGAACAGCTGGTCGATAGAAGAGCAATTTTTCTTATCGTCTGATAATTTTCAAGCAGTTTTGGCTCCGCCTTATCATTTTCTTTTTTACTATTTTCGTCCGGCCAGTGCAGTAAAAAGTATTTATTTATGCTCTTTAACATTTATATTTTTTAAAAATTGTTGATAAAACATATGTTAAAAGATGATTTTAAAAAACAGTGCAAATAAGTAATTCTATTACTAATTATTCTTTTTTACAGAAGTATTTTTTTCGAGCTATATATTTTGTTTTATTAAAAATGAATACATTATCAGATGGTATTTAGAAATGCAAAGCATATACATACACGTATTTAGAAATGCAAAGCATATACATACACGTGAACTCGAGCAAATTTTATTGCCCACAGAGAAAAAGATAACAAATGAAGATTAAAAAGAAGCGACATTTAGTAATTATTATACTTAAAAGTTCATAAATATGTTTATTATTGATTGTCGCAGATGATTATTAATTTTAAATCATTTTATATGTTATGTACATTTTTATCTATATATACAATTTAGCAAAAAAAAAAAAAATTCAAGATTTTTTTCCTGACTTATATTTTCTTAACTTTTAGAATCAGAAAAATTCAATGCAAGTTCTTAAAATCGATCACAATTTTATCTATAATGTATTTTGCTAATTATCAGTTTTAAATGAATTTAATAATCGTGAATTTTATTACAAATGACATTGGAACGTTAAGGGTTGAACGCGTCCACAGTTTTTCGCTTTGGCCTAAATTTTATTGTACATAATTCCGTTTTGTCACGAACAATTGGCACCAAGATTATAAAAATCGATCGCGAACGCACCAAACACAAGAATTCTCTCGAAGAAATAAGATATTCTGCTTTCATGCACGTTTGATGAAAAAAGAAGAAGAAAATTGCATGTACTCTTTGCAGTATCGTAGGATGTTATTAATCGAATAAATTATTAATATATCGAGTAAATTTGCCAATCAAAAAGGAAGGCTCGATAATTAAATTTTTATAACATGGGATGATCTTTACTCTGCAACAAGTAAAAAATTCTATTTGTTGAAACTCACTTTTTCACTCGCTTTCCAGCTATTGAAAATTAAATCTAAAATTATTTTTTGCAATTGTTGACCACATTTAAATATGCGCATCTTTATTGATTTGTTATGGGGATTTCTGTGAAGTAGTTTGTATATGGAAAAAGAAAAAAAACATGAGAAGAGAAAAATGATATTCTTGTTAATTCTCTGATTTTAATATCTCTTCATGATTAAATACGTAAGAGAATTTTAGTATAACATGATTAAAAATAAAAGTTATTTATGTTCAAAAATAATTGTAATGATTATTAGTTATTAAGACAAGCAATATTTTAACGTTATAATTAACGAGCTCCAAAATTAAATTAAAAAGATAATTTTGCTGGCATAAAATTGATTGATCGTATTGAATTTTAAAATTACTTTCCTGTAAAAAATAAAAAAAAAACAATTTATCGTATTTTCCTCTGTCTTCGTATAAAATTCCACTACTATACTTAATGATTTACAAAATGTATAAAAACGTTTGTAATTTTGACTACGACTTTTAAATTTTATTAATTGTATACGACTACACAGTTAGATTTTTTAATAGATCGCTTCTGTTAAAATACTTTTGAGGAGAAAATTTTTCGATTAAATTTTTTTAATTTTTAAGTAAATTTTATATGATATAATATTGCGAAAATAATGAATCCCCTGTAGCAATTCGATATTTTCCAGCAAACTACGAGAGAGTCAATATGTCGCTTTTACACAATTCACGAGGAGCAAAAATGTTTTATAAGAAAAAAAAAAAAAAAGAAAAAAAAGAAAAAGTATCATTCCGTAGCAGTCTATATACTTAATTTTAAACGAATCATAGAGATACGCTAAGGCAATGCTTAATGGCACAAGCTCAATTATTTATTAGTAAGAAAGGCTTAGTTTCTCGTCTTTTCAGATATTTCACCAAGGAAATCGAAACACGTTTCTTTCGTCTATTAAGAATAAGGAGAGTTAATAGGAATAATTTCAATACTGCCTGATATTCGAAACCGAGTGGATTAAACCGTATAAATGGCTAATGAAAAGTGTCCATTAAAGAATAACCAAAATTCTCTCACGTCGCTTCTGCGGATATAGGTGTGCGATTATCTGAAAATCAATTTTTGCGAGTATTGCATTTTCTTAATTTTAAGCTTGTTTTAACAATGAAAACAGAATAATAATAATAATAATAATAATAGTAATAGTAATAACATGCAAAATAAGAAAGAAATAACAATTAATTGTATTTAACTGGAAAATCGTGAAAAAATACAAAAAAAAAAATGTATAAAGGATAGCTATAGCTCTTTTAAAAAGCTATAAAATTATAGAACTGACTTATACGTATGTAAGCACTTTAGTATTTATTTTAAACAATTGACCAGTAAATGCATTTAAAAAAAAATAGTTTGCTTTTATATTACTTTTATATTGAGAGGACAAAGAATTTATTTATTTATTCGTTTTTTTGTGAGTATTGATTGAAATTAATACGAAGCAATTTACGGAGATAATTTAATGAGCTATCAGTATGGATCAATCGTTCCCCTGTGAGTTCTCGAGTGATTTATTTGAAAAAAATTTGATACTAAGAACTTCTATATGTAAATTCTTCAACTGAGTACGAATCATGTAATTTATTTATATTTAGTGAAGTTGTTTTAAATATATCATTATGTTATTCAGTATTCGTTATAGCGGCAAATATTTTCCCAGGCAATACTTGATCTTAAACAATTCTCTATTTACTTAATCCCATATTTTTTTAAAAGCTCTTATTATTATAAATCAATTATGCAATTCTTGAAATAATCTTTTTCAAATCGTTCGTACGTTATCTTTTATAAAAATTTATTTTATTATTTCATATATTTATAATATATGTACGTATTGTAGAGTTACTATTTGAAGTTTAGAAAAAAATCTTTAATCAGATTGAATTATTAATCTTTTATCAAATTTTGATAATAGCCTCAGTTATATTCTTTTAATAGTAATAGTAATAATTCTCATAATATTGTATAAATACAAATTTGCCGGGGAATATATCGGCCATCTTTGATCAATATTTGTTGGTATCGATCGATCAGTATCAACATTCAATTATTCATCATTATCGATAGTGCCAACTTTAGTCGAGAAGAAAAATAGTACCAAAAAAAAACGTACGGAACATTTTTATTATTGTTATCGAAAGCACGTGAGTGACTAATATACATACGTTTTACTAACATTGTTTATCCCTTTCTACGCATTTGTACTTTAAGAAACAATCGTGAAACTTTTCAGGTATGTTCGTTCAAAGTTTTACAATACAATGACTACTTGTCTGAATACACTTGTTACGGATCATTTCGGAATAACTATAGGAATTATACGCATACTGGCGTGCTACAATTGTAATTTTAGAACGAGCATTCGTTAATGAATCATTTGTTAATAATTTTCCTGTTGTAAGCAAGGTATATATTTTGACAGATAATGCGCACACTATGAACAACGATACGAATTTTGTCACATTTGAACATTGTGGGGAATATTATAACATCAGGAGTAAATAAATTTTTATTCACTTTTAAGGCTGTTGTATCCTTCCCTTTGGAGTTCAAACAGAAAAGAGTTCACATAAGAACTAAGAACTACGGTAATATCTTATTAATATTTATTTCTTGAGTCCATAGATATTATATTAATTTTTATTTCTTGAGTCTATAGATTTTCAAAATGAAATTACTCGGAATTTTATTTAAATATAAATTTTTATTTATTTCCCATTTCACATTTATTTGTTTTTTTTTTTTTTTTTTTGATTCATCGATGATTGAAATCGCTTCGAATTTCAATTCTTCTCTCTTCGATCATTAATTCGCGCCTCGAAACAAGGGAATGTGGTCGTCTCTTTATGCCTATTGATGACTCCCGAGCAATACCCTCTACAGGAAAAGTATAGTCCCGCTTATAAACTTAACAATCTCGGTACAATATTCTGAAGGAGCAAGAAGGACGAAAAGGAGTGAGAACATTACGAGAAGCATGTACGAGAGAGAAATAAAACGCTCAAATACAAAGGCAAAAGCAAAGAACCAAGAACCATGGAGTGATTCGGTACCCGTGGGCAGCGCTAGTCGTGGCAGGTAGTTTTCCAAACGTAGTCTATCGGCCAGAGAGTGGAAAAAAGTAATCCGCGAAAAGGGGTTCGTTGTTACGCCGGTCTGGTGCGACGTTGCCGATTCTCGAATGAGAAAAGCGGTTGGCTAGGTTGGTCCAGGACCGAAACTAGAACATTATAGAGCCTCCTCACATAGGAACAGCCTTCCCTCAAGAGGAATATTCAAACAACAAGTAATATAATTTCAAGATTCAAATGATTTGAAACAAAAATATAATTCTCTAATAAGGCTGCTATTCATATTATATACGTATAATAATTAATACTACAACGATGTATATTTTTCATAGAAATATAAACGCATTTCAATATAAAATCCAATCATAAAAGTAGAAGAGTATTACAATGTACTATTTGACAATTCGTGCAGGGTACCTAAATACATAGTTGCGAGTTTGTTTGGCCCTCTTGAGGTGGCGGTAACAGCAGTGTTGCCAGGCGAGACTAACCACGACGAAGTGGAAGCGAAGCCTGCTTATGGGGGTTTTGCGGGAGGAAAGGAGGGATTGAAAGGAGAATTGGATGAAAAAAGAAAGGTAGAATCGGGGCAAAGAAAGAGAGAAAGAGCGGTACGCGGACCGGGCAGGGGTGGCGGACCAATTAAATATGGCGACAGCAGTGGGGTGTGGCGCTTGCGCATGCGCAACGCCGGTTTCAGCTGGGGGGACAGGAGCCGTGGATAGAACGGGGCAGCGACGAGAAGGAATCAACCGGCCGGCGAGCAGAGGGATCTTGACGAGTACCCGGCGTACGTTTGTGTAGTGCGCGCTGTCTTCGAGAGGATAAGCTCTTTCCAGTGTCGCTTGAGAACTTGTCCGCCGACGTTTGTTCGCTTGGCACCGCTGCGTACAAAGCGTTTCTCTCGTTTTCACTTCGAAACCGGTTGGACGTGTGAAAAAGTACGAATAAAGTCGCAGAATAATGACGATGGCAACGGAGACAGAAAATACCGGGCCAGAGAGCAAAGAGATTAAAGACGTGAAGGAGATGAAAGAGGCGCTGAAGGACGAAACGCCGCCGGACAATAAGCAAGAGGAGAAAGATGCGACGAAAAAGGAAGATAGTGGTAAAAAAGAAGAGACCGCTGACGCCGCGGCTGCTACGCCATCCTCCGCACCGACTAAGACTATCAGCGTGCATAAGGCCAACTACGAGAAGGATGTTGTTTATCTCTATCAGTTCTCCCGAATACCGCTTTTGCCCTCCATCTCGCCGTATTGTCTCAAGGTGGAGACATGGTTGCGACTCAACGGCATCAAATACGAGGTAAGTTTTTCATTTATTGTCCTCGCGTATCGTTACCAGACTGTAGTCTGTTTGCTAGAATAGTGACAAAAAAAAGGAGAAAATTAATGCACGATATTCTAAAATATCGATTTTACATAGGGTATTCGAAATAATTAGTCTACTATTTAATAACGAAGAATCTTTGTTTTTTTACGATTCAAGTAATAACCTTTAGATCCTGAATCTATCTTTCATAAAATATTGCTTGTATTCGCCATTTGTAACAGTAAGGTTGAGACATGTTATGCGTTCTTATTGCATGGTGTAACTTTACTAAATAATTACATTTCCATAGACAGTAGAACACGGTTAACTTTTAGAGTTAATCTTTTAAGATATCTTACAATTGACGGTTTTTTGGATATCACGATTCTAGCAAATATTCTGCCTGTAGTATGCTCTCCAATCATTTGAGTTTCGAAACTCGTGATGCAGGGCAAAACAAGGGGATCGATGCGAGCACAATGCTCCCAAGGCTGTACCCTAGGCGTCATGTTTCTTCCGGGTATATCCGAGAATGCGTTCTTTTGACTTTTCGTTATTGTAACTCGATCGCATTAAATTTCAAACTATTTATTGTTAAGAGTCGGGTAATATATATAATTCTATCGAACTGACGGTGTGCTACAAAAAGAAAAAAGAGATAGAAAAGATGAATCCTTTACCGATTATTTCAAAATGGCGACTCTTGTCAACCTTTGTGGACTCAAAGTAATGTTTAAAATGCGCTTTCAATATCGTTCGCGAACGTTTTTCGCAACTTACTGCGCAGGTAGAGTTTCATTTCGATCACAAATGCACTCTCATTATTCTGTCAGCTATACGTTTTCTCATGATTTTCTCGTGATTTTGATGAGAATTTCAAAATGCTTCCCGTCACGATATCGATTTCTCTTGACTGAAAACTTGATGGACATTTGCATGCATTTTTCGAATCATTAACTTAAATTTAAATGTACGGTTCTTTGTGTTGTTAATCTATTATTTAGCAGTTTGTAATTTCTCTATACGCTAAATTTTTAGGTTTCTGTAATGGGGAATAAATTGATCAATCCTGAATTTTGCTATTTCATTATTCAAATATTCGTAGAAATAAATTGATCAATCCTGAATTTTGCTATTTCATTATTCAAATATTCGTAGAAATCATGCCATTTATACTCGAGCGTTTACACAAACTACGGATAATGTGTCCGCGATTATTTTAATATAGGCGAAGCTGAAGTATGTAATCGTGCGTGTAATAACTGAACATACGAGAATTTCATTCTCATTATATGATACAGATATACGTGTCAGCCTAATCCGCCGGAACATCAAACCTGTTACGCTCTTTCGAAACTGAGCAATCTTATACGTATCGACCCCGTTATAATAGATCTCGCTCCGCTTACATACACACCATACGCGTAATTCTACAAAACGTTTGCTTAAATAAAATGTAAAAGCATTCGTGCGTGACCCGTGTCGGGGTCACGTTCTGATTTCCAATGTAACGTTTCAAAGACGATATTGTACATTAAGAACTGATTTCTCTCTCTCCATGCGCGGTGGCCATCGTTTTCCATCGTAAAAATTTTATATCCGGCGCGAGAGTAACGCGGCCGGATGACGGGCACACGCGATCGAAAAGCATGAAAATACATTTTCTCGCGAAAGAGGTGAAAGGCCCGGCGGCATGCATTCCTCTACGGACTTTTAAAACGGGTTTCAGCGAGTCGCGTGGGGGCCGAGTCGTGGAAGCCTATTGGAGGGCTTCCAACTTGAACAGAGGCAAAAGTGCATATGCGCTGCCGTCGCGCTGGATCCTGCGCGTTTCTGTTTTCAAGAGGGGTGGAACGGACGCATAACAGATCCCTTCGGTCTCCGGACATACGCACGCACCAGAAATGTTACTAACGATCATTGATACATTATCGATATTCGATGTCTGAATAGTCAAAATGATCATAGACTCACAAGCGATTTATTGACTCTAATTTGACGGACTTTATGTATTAATCAAAAGCTGTTTTTAAAATAACACGCGTTATATCGATTCTTGTTTTTCGAAACAATGTTTTTTTTTCCACTATCACTATGAAAGTGTATTTTTAGACGGCGATATGTACTTTCACGCCCAGGATAGTGATTTTCTTTTACACAAGAAAAGTACTTTGTTATTCCCGGGATAAAAACGCGTGTTTTTGCATCGATTTATTTATATTGTCTCTGGTACGGTGCAGAGATATT